AGGCCGCGGCACCGCCTGCCCGCCCCGGGGCCCTTCACTCACTCGCGGGCCGGCTGGGCGCGCTCTCCCCGCGCAGTCGCTGCGCTTCCCCGCTCTGCAACTTTATTAGCACCTCGGCCGCGGGACACACGCACGGCTCCCGCTCGCCCAGGACCCGGATGACGGGGGGGGGGCGGGGGGGAGGGAGCCTAGGAGGACGCTTGTTGGGGTCGGCGCATGCGCGCCACTGCCTAGTGACCGCTGCGGAGTGGAGCGGAGGGCGGCCCTACCCTGGCAGCCAGAGAAAGTCTCCGCGCTTGGCCACGCGCCCGCAAACCCCGACTTCCGATCAGCTGGAGGCTTCCGGTCTATGGCCAGGCCTGAGCGCGGGAGTCGGCTTTAGGCACTAGTGGCCTCCCCAACCAAATGAACCGGTGTTATAATAAAACAAAGAAAGTAGTTGTCCTTGATATGGACAGTTGGAGATTTTCTGTCACAAAATGTAAATAAAAATATCTTCAGATAGGACTTTGCTATTTTATTTTACAATACAAACCTGAATGAAGAGAGTCGTCTTTCTGTGCAAAAGTAGTTTCAAAACAAGTTTCTGAACTCATTATTTACAGTTTCTTACTTCAGCCAAGAAGCCGCTCCCACGGGGCAATCTTGGAGCCTAGACTTCCCCAAGCACAACTGCCCATCTTCTGACTGACCCCTCTGTCAAGATACCCACCTCGCCGGGAGTGGTGGCGCACCTCCCAGGACTCGGGAGGCTGAGGCAGGACGATCGTTGTGAGTTTGATTCCAGCTTGGTCTACAAAGTGAGCTCAAGGCCAGCCTTAACTGCAGAGTGAGACCCTGTCTCAAAAAGACAAAAAAAAAAAAACAAAAAAAACAAAAAAAAAAACAGATACCCACCTTCCCCTTCTCTTGACTCTTTTCACATTAACTTCAGCAGGCCATTGGACAGCTTCGCGGTGCTGCAGACCGTTCTTTTCTTCATGCTTTTCCCTCCAAATTCCCAGAAGTGTCGGCATTCCCAGAATATCATTTAGTTCAACCTAGTGCACCCAATTTGGAGAGTACAAGTGAGGAAATCTTTCAAATAATTGCATTTTAATTTTAAACGTCACACTGGTTTTTTAATACTTTTATTTAAATAAATTAAGTAAAAATCAAAATTGGGATCATGTTTTAATCCTCTCAGTCATACACCAGTCCAATCTATGAGTCTAAATCTACCTTCAAATACTGGATGGATAATTTCTCGTCGTCTTTATTGCCTGTCTCCTCAAGCCAGTGTCATCTCAATTGACACACAAATGGGGTGGTAGCTATTTTGTGCCAGGCTCCAGCAGCTCGTTTCCTTTGGGGAAGAGACTAAGAAATTTTGCAGAAGTCTCTGCAGGGAAGTAGCCATCTCAAAGGTGACGAGGTCTAGGTGAGGGAGTGAAAGGAGCGGACCAAAGTGGAAACCAAAGAGTGCTGGTCCCACCAAAGGGAGCAGCTGCTGTTCTGCTTTGTCACACGGAGGAAATATGGGAATAAGTGTTGACAGAGCTTCTTATTTTTTTTCAAAGGAAATTGGAAATCTGTGCTTTTGTGCCCCTCCAAAAAAAAAATGTAGTATCTGTTTAGTAACCTTTCCCTGTCTCTGTCTCTTTCTCTTTCTCTGTCTTCTCCCTTCCCTGCTCCTCCTTTCCCCCTTCCGCTCCTCCTCTCATCTTCCTTGCCTAGGTATTCAGGAGGCCAACACTGCACAAAGCCAAACAAAACAAACTCACGGTCCCAGTTTAGCTTGCTGGCCCTCAGTTTGCAACCTCAGGTCTACATCTTAAATTTCTTTACAACATCGTAAACTCTGTGAAAGTAAAGTCTGTGTACTTTAACTCTTTGTCACGCTCACAGATTATTTGTTGTTAATTCAGAACTTTCCAACCCTTGGAAGGCACATATTTCTGGAGCCTGCGTGGGTTTATGGCTCCTGGAAGCACCTCTAGCCCTACCTTGGAGGATGCCCTTTTTTCAGAACTGATGTTTGCAGAGGGCTTTGTTGAGCATTGTAGAATACAACAATTTGGTTTAAATATTTTGTACATTAGAGCCACTCCTTACTTCAAACAGCCAGTAAAATCCTTCCACAAACAAATCGTTTGCATATATGTAAGAATAATTTGTGATTACAGGGGTTTGTTTAATCAAAATTACTTTTGTAATCCTAAAGCCAACAGTTTTGCTTCCTAGACTATGTGTCTGCATACTGATCAAGTGAACCAGAGACTCCAGCTTCTTGTAGTTACAGTGTGGGCTAAATTTAAGTCTGTAGTTGGAAGAGATAGTAATATAGAAGGGGGGTTAAGGAAACTAGCAGCCAACGGCAGTTTTCCAAAGCACTGAGAAATTACTCAGACCTCAAAGAGCACAAGAAGTCAGAATCTCACAGTCTATGTACGGTAGTAGCCAAGAAGATTAGCAAATAACAAATGACCAGGCTTGCCAGAGCCATAGGAATGGAAGAAGGAAGTCTCTAGTTTTGCTCATCACATGAATCTAAAAACAAATGTACAATAGCATGGTCTGAATAGATGGATATAATCAGTGCAGAATCAAAGTAGACAAAGTGCTTTTCCAGTTTCACCTTTCAGCTGATTGAGATCAGATTATAGCAGCTTCCATACTCAATTTTATGTAAAGAAACCTATTCCTGTGTAATTTCGACCAGTAGCTTTCATCAGGTATAACTGTGGCCCTAGGACATATTTGGTAGCTTAAAGAACTTTCTAGGCTATCATAAACTGGAGAGCAGCGTTACTGGCACCTCGAGGGTAGGGGCCTAAAACGCACAGGACAGCCTCCTTCTAACACGAATTATCCAACCCAAAATATCTATAGTGCTGTGCCAGCCAGTGACTACATGAAAGTGTCTTCTACAGTATTTGAAAAGACATTTTCCAGTAAAATTTTGGTGTTCCTATGTGAAATCCTTCCTTAACAGTCCACAGACAAATCCCCTTTATTTTTACAACTCAAAAGTTGAAATTATAGCATTGAGAAAGAAAGGAGAAGTTTAAAACAGGCAGCACATCCTTGGGAACACAGGAAGCCAGCAGCCAGACTCCTGAAGCTCCAGGTTTGATACCAGAGAATCCAGGAGGTTTCTTGAAATTATTGTGTACATGTTTCCATCTACACCTGTGTACAATTTCTTTTGTGTGTAAAAAAAGTCCATCGCTTTCATCAAGATTCTCAAAAGACTTCCTGATATTCACTTCTGCAGATACTTAAAACCAAGATTGCTTTACACGTGGTGCACCTTTAATATGCTCATGTTAAGTTATCTTCTCTTTTCTTTTCCAGAGCAACATAATTAGGAGATTTCTCTCTAGGGAAGGCAGCTTGATGTAGAGTATAGGAACCTGGCTCGCCTGTCTCCTGACATCTGCTACATTAAAGAAGGCCTCCTATGGCTGGAATCCAAAACACAAAATTAAAAGGGTTGCTTGCACCCAGAGTCATAAAACAAAGAGGCTTTCTAAAGCAGAGCTTGGAACAAACACTCATTTTTTCTTGACTTAAACAGCATCTGTTACTCCTGATGGCAAACACCCTGCAAGTTAATGCCGCTAACCTCAGTGGTACAGCATTCTCAATTCTCCTCCTCAGAGACATGGGCTCAGAGGAAACAAACCACATGTGTACTCCGCCACACATGCAGGGTAGCAGGTGAAAAGCTGGGAATGTATGACATTGGGGAGAGAGGAATGAGACAGAAGCTTCCCATTCTCTAGGAAGCCCTTTAAATGTATGAAATCAGAATCATAAGAACCTTGAAGCCAGACTTCTTAGTTTGAACAAGGACTGTCTGATTTACTATCTGTGTGACCTTGAACAAGTGTCTTAACCAATTTGCGCCTCAGTCTCCTCACTTGTAAATTGGAGATAGTAGCAGTACCTAGCTAATAGAATTACTATGAGGATTAAAAGTACAGAGACTTTCAAAACACTCGGAACAGGCCCTGAGACATAGTAACTGCTCTAAAGGTTTCTGTTTTAAAAACGTTCATTTGCTCCTAATATGGCAAAAACGTCTAAAATATTCTTAGAAAATCCATTTGTTACATGAAATTTCTGTTCATTTTGTAAGGCAGTCTATCTTTTTCCCTTTTTATTCTAATAGGTAATCTCATTCATTCCAGGCCTCTGGTACCACCTGTGTATCCCTGAAAATAAGGCCTAACGAAAAAATAAGTACTGGCTAGTACCATGGTGTTGGCCAGTGTCATGCAGAAGATTCTACCTCACTGTTCTCTTGCTGATTGGCTACTCTGTAATGGCAGGTAAGGTAAGGTGACCGGGGTTGGCATTTTTGATCTCTAGTTTTCAAGGCTGATTATTTTCCAGTTAGGTCTTATTTTGGGGGAAACACAGCATCTGTCGTAGACAATTCCTAAATTTGTGTGTCCATTTGAACTTGGCTAGTGAACTCCAGACTATTAAATTCAACAATGGTGCTGGTTAGTGCTCTGCTGCTGAAATGTGTATCTGAGATAATTAATTTTTGAAAAGGAGAGGGTGATAGTTTCAGAGGTTTCACTTGATGGTCAGTGAGCTGCATTGCTTTGGGTCTGTGGTGACACAGTACATCATGGTGGGACCCTGTGTTGGAGGAGGTCTGTTCTCCTCACATCAGCCAAGAAGCAAAGAGAAAAATGAAGAGGAAACAGGGCATGGTAGTACAAGCCTATACTCTAGGAGACTGAGGCAGGAGGATCACAAATTCAATCCCAGCCTGAGCAACTTAGCAACTTAGTGAGATCTTGTCTTAATAAAAACAAAACAAAACAGTCTGGGTAGGTAGCTCAGTGTGAAGGCCCTGGGTTCAATCCCCAGTATTGCAAAAATAAAAAGAGGGGGCAGACTGAGGTCCCAGTATCCGTTCAAGGGCATGTTCCCAGTGACCTGACTTCCTGCCATTACCCTCCACCCACTGAAGCTTCCACCTCTTCCCAATAGCAGCACAGGCTGGTGATGAATCTTTTAACACTGAGCCTTTGGGGAACATTCAAATCCAAATTAGGACAACTAATCTATTAATCTCCTTACTGGACTGTAGTGGTTACAGATAGTGTCCACCCTTATTTTTTTCAATCCTCTTCTCCTGAGTCCTTCGTAGTGTCATTCTCCTCCTCGTGTGTGA